AGGAGGAGGAACCTGCGGCGGAAGAGGAGGAAGCCCTGGTGAAGGAAGAGGAACCAGAAGCGAAGGAGGAGGAACCTGCGGCGGAAGAGGAGGAAGCCCTGGTGAAGGAAGAGGAACCAGAAGCGAAGGAGGAGGAACCTGCGGCGGAAGAGGAGGAAGCCCTGGTGAAGGAAGAGGAACCAGAAGCGAAGGAGGAGGAACCTGCGGCGGAAGAGGAGGAAGCCCTGGTGAAGGAAGAGGAACCAGCGGCAGAGGAGGAGGAAGCCCTAGCAACGGAGGAACCCGCGGCCGAGGACAGAGAGGAGGAGGTCACGGCGAAGGAGCAACCAGCGGAAGAGGAGGAAGAGGAGATCCTGGCTAAAGATGAGGACATACTGGCTAAGGAGGAGGAGGCCCTGGTGAAAGAGGAGGTCGTCCTAGAACAGGAACCCACGGCGGAGGAGAAACTCTTAGTGGAAGAGGAATCCACGGCAAAGGAGGAACCTGCAGTAAAAGAGGAGGCCCCTCCCACTAACTCGAACGCCTGGCCGACGGGCGAGGAGGGAAGCTGGGTGGCGCCACCGTTCCCGGTGGACGACCGCGCCGAGCAGATGACAGCACCACCTGGAGCCGACGAAGGCGGATTCTGCGACGGAGGAATTCCAGAATCGAGCGAATCCGCCGCGATGCCGGAATGCGATCGGAATCCAGACGGAGCAGCGGTGGCGCTATCTACCAGGCAGGATGAGTCGGAAGAGGCGGGTAATGGCGGAGGAGAAGAGGGAGGGAGGCGGACGGAGCTTCCTTCCGGAAACGCCGCGAGGGACGGAGAGTCTTCTTCCGTCGCCGCCGCCAGCGCCCTCTCGCTGGACGACGCGACCTCGGCGGCGCCCCCTGCTGAGCTCCCGGGATGTCTGCCAGAGGGCGCCGACTGTCGCGACGCCACGGCGACGGCGTCTGCCACGGAGGAGACCTCCTCTTCCTCGTCCTCTTCTGCTACGGCTCTCCCCCTCTCCACCGTCGGAGATGAAGGTCGGCTGGCATCCTCGGACGTTGCCGGCGCGTCCGGCGGCGGTCAACCGAACGTCGTCGCGGAAGAGACGTCGTTGCCGTCGGCAACCGACGACGACGACGACGAGTGCCAACCGACGCCCGAGCGGACAGACGACGGCGGATCGTCCGACTGCCGGCAGGTGGCAGCACCAGACGCCGCCTTGCCGGAAGCTTCGGACGACCGCCACCAGGGGGAGACGTTGACAGCGGCTGCTCCCTGCGGCGAACCGGCGCAAGAGGACGCCACTGGGCACGGTGGCGAGGATGAGGGTAAGCCGAAGTCCTCGTACTTTCGTAGATTGGTAGACTCAAGGCGTCGCACGTCGATGGTGAAGTTTTGTGCAGGGAGAGGGTGTTTTTTTATTGAAGGTAAGTCCGCAGGCAGACTGACAGGTGGGCGGAAGGCAGGCAGACAGGTGGGCGTGAGGCAGGCAGGCAGCCAGGTTGGCAGGGGGTGGGCAGGCAGACAGGCAGGTTTCTCCTAGATTTTATCTCCGCCTCCTTTTTCTTCTTCCTCGTCTTCTCCTGCTTCTTCTCCTTCTTCCTTTTTAATGGGCATCGTTACTTTAGTCTGTACCTGTTATCATTTCAGATGCAGCGTCGGACGCAGCAGTGGCGCCACCTGATGTAGTGACGTGCACGCCGGCGCTCGTGGAAGCACAGCCGGAGACTCCGAGTCCGCAACACGATTGAGACGCGTTGACGCGAGGAGCCATGCTGCGTGGAGCTAAGACGGACACGGAACAGAGAGACGCAGAACAGAGACACGGAACAGAGACACGGAACAGAGAGACACTGAACACATACACGGAACAGAGACACGGAACGTCGGCGCACGATGATCTCGTTCCATGCTCGGGGAGCGCGCCGTGCGTCGCCGTCTCGGATGCTCTTTTTTCTTTTTACGATTTCTTGCCGCGACTGCCCGTGAGCTCGTCGCTGCTGCACGATGCGTGGGGGCGGGCGAGGCGGGGTGGCGATACTGATTTTTTCCGGGAGGGGTAATGCACGAGGTCACATTACTGATACCCCTTCTCTATTATTACTATTATTATTATTATTGTTATTAATGGTAAATATAGCTTAGATGTGGATGAAAAGATTTTTTTCCCTCCACCCAGACCTTCGGGATTGGGACGACGAATCGACGTGCGTTACGTTTCCGCGGCAACGTAACCCCGTCTGATTTTCTTCGACGGACACGCGTTGGAGGGACTCTTATTTTGTTTACTTTTTAGTAAAAATAACCATTTGTTTTTTTAAATATTCCCCCTTTGCACATATAGGTCTGAATGGTTTGGGTTGATTTGACGTATTTATTACCCGAGGGGGGTTTATAACCCGAGGAGGAGGTGGGCGAGGGGGGAGTGCGCGGGTGAGGCGTTAGGATTGCCACGATCGATCCTAACTGTGATTTTTATATGATTAAAATGCAATCCTTATTTTTCGTAGCGTATCTGCCTTTAGCGGAGGTGGATCGGCAATTGGTGGAAGAGGTGTGTGTGTGTTTGTGTCAGGGAATCACGACGACAAGTCGTGATCATGTTACCGTCACCACTGGTGGCATTTCACGATCCGCGCACTTGCCCCTGCCCCCGCCCCCCCTACGTGGGCGTGTCGTCGCATTCGGGAGTGCCGCCCACCCAATGCCGACGGAGTTTACGATTTAATAAAAAAGTATTTGTAAAATTTTAGAGATTAATGGGGGAAGAGAGCCTCGCGCTCAACGAAATGTTTTGGTGCTCGAAATTTCGGCGGCCGAAGGTTGAGCAATAAATAGCGCCTGGCCCGTTGCGTTGCCGTAGCGACGGTCGGTGTCGTTCCAAGATGGCGCGAGTTATGTTAACAAGCACCGAACCATTGCATGCACTTTTGTTTTACGTTTTTCGTGTGACGTGATAAGGTGCGCGAGAATGGTATTTTGTTAGACTTATCGAGTTTCCTCTTTTTTATGTTTTGTTTTATAGTATTAAACTATATAAAAGATGCCTATCATAGTGATATTTGATTAAAATTTACTAAAATGGTTCTCTATATAAAAGTTTTGAGCACCCAAATGAGGGGAGCATCATAAAATGTCTACTAAAATTATGTGTCATAGGTAAACGGCGTGTATTACGAACTAAAATATTTTACTCTAAAATTTCGGAGTCACGTGTGCTCCTGCGCCCAAAAGTGTTTTCGACTTTATAGAAAGTTTTTATCGTGGTGTTTGGGGGATAGTGAAGGTGCCCCTGGATTATCACATTCTGTACAAACGAGGCCTAAAATTCTTTATAAAAAATTTCGCCGATAGTACGGCTCTATATATCTACGTGCGCGTGCCTAAAATCTTTTTTTGCAGCGATATACTAATATCAGAGTAAGCAGCGTTTAAAATCTTTACGGAGAAGACTTAAAAATCTTCTCAAAAAAAATCTTGAGATTGTCGGAGAGTGTGTGTGTGTGGGCTAGCGCGAGAGTAGTAACAAATGACGCCATCTTGTTCACGGTCTGGCCGCCGGTCTGTTAACCACATGGTGTGGGAGTGGTGCCGCTCTGGTGTCACCAACGGTGGACACGTCGTCGGTGACGTCAGCGGTTGCCCCTCGTCACTCGGTCGTGTGGCGATGGCTACGGGTGAGGGTATAGCGGGGTAGATAGCGTAGGAGCCAGCTTGAACAGAAGCATTCTGAGACGTTGTTGTGGACGAATCACCGAGACCGCGTCGTAGGGTTCACACAGTCGACGAAATTAACGAAATTCCTCATGCGAATCGCTATGGTCTAAAATTGAAATAATTGGCGGAATTCTCAACGTTCTGTGGAAAAAGTAAACGTCTCTGGGAAGGATACAATGACCTCGGCTATTGACCTTCGTCGTTGCCCTTGACCCCCGGGGGTCGCGCGGACTGATTTTGTACTCGAATGTTCTCCGCCGGCGGTAATTGCCATTAAAATAAACTGGTTTTTCTAACATCGCATCTCTACTGTGTTCTTTATCTGTATTCGGCGGATTTTGTAGACTACACGGTACATGTGTGTGCTTGTCACTTCCATTCTTTATATAGTGTAAAAATTTAAATGAATTGGACACGGTGAAATTCCCAACTAATACTATGGCAAGGTCGTACCCAACTCATTTTGGCCTGGGGTCAAAACCGTGTGAGGGTTGTGTTTTGGCTAGTTGATTGTGGGAAGTTTGCTATTGGCTATTAACCATGCATAATATCAAGGGTGAATAATGAAAAATTAATAGTGAATATATTATATAATTAACTAATTAAATTAATAGTGAAAAATGAATTATTCACCCCTGCATGACACTATAATATACTGTACTGGTGGGCAACTATATATACGACCCTTACCCCACTAGCTAAGTACGACTTGTTGTACACTGCACTATCTCCAGTGGGTGCCGGCATTTAGATGCCATTCAGAATTAAATTGCGAAAAGGCCGGGAATCCAAAAACTATCATGATATTTCCGAGGTTGTTTGACTCAATTTAATTGGCTCTTTCGTATCCACTTTCTTCATGTAAAACTTATATTAACCTTTAATTAAATTTATCACGATCAGGTGAAGATTATACCTAGTTATATTGTGTCCTTGCGCTCTTATTTAAAAATTATTGGAGCCCATGCATAATTCGTAGTACTAGTACTCAATTAACAGATTATCTCAATAATATCTTGGCCAATTATCACTGTTTTTCGACAGATACATGCTGTATGTATTCAAAGGATGCCTTTAATTTTAGCTTATTAGTTTTAATCATTCAATATTGGAAATTCCCTTATTAGTGTTTAATTATAAAATTGAAAGTTCCTCTGCAATCACAACTACACACGTGTTGATCTATCACACTGATTCACAGTATCAATTTGATCAACTTTGTCTTTCTATCTACGGGTAGTCCCTTGCTGAGAACAGTGTATACATTTTATACGTGTACTGTATATTCTGTTCTAACTTCTAAGGTACCCTGGCCTTCAAAGACTAATCGTTATGAGGTTACGATAATTATTGTTACCATATTAATATCAACCTCTGACGGCACCACAGAAATAGAAATAGATTCTGTGGACGGCACACGTGTGTACCCATATACAGTTAGTTACAGAAATATAGTAACAGCTGTCTACTAGTACCACTACTTGGTACTACTGACACTGATACTGATAGGAGTACATACCGTACGTATTACGGTATATATGTATCATAATTATAATAAATAATACAAATTGCATTAATAGTATACCAAATGAATAAAAGAGATCAATAAATAAATAATTGACATTGATTGTCACTGTGGATTTTCTGTTTGACTTTTAGGTTTACGCCCTAGCAATCTTTAATGATTTTACGACGTGAAGACGTTTATTCCAATGGACGATATATAAATAATCAAGAACTTGATGAGGAGTCCTGGCAATGCCACTAGTAGTGCACGAAGGGTCGTTGTCGTAACAGGTACTACTACTAGTACTACTACTACAGATATGTACCCGAGGTAGTTTTAGGTTGTTTAGTATTATGTTTATATTTTTATAGGAGGTATGTTTAGGGTTAGGGTTAGGGTTAGGGTTAGGGTTAGGGTTAGGGTACACTTCTGTAGTACAAGTCTGGTACACTTTGTGTATACATATATGTACCTCGGGTACATATCTGTAGTACCTGTTACGACAACGACCCCTTGAGCACTAGTAGTACTACTAGTAGTAGTAGTAGCCTACAACTTCAAGTAGTATGCTGTACATCCCTTGTTTTCACTGACGTCTGCTCAATGACAAGGGTACACACCATTATCAATGGGCTCACAATGTGTTGAAATTAAACATATATGCTTAACCAACATGAAATTCAAAATGACCATAATGAGAAACAACGAACATTTTCCCATTTGCTAACCCCGGTCTGCTAACGCTATTCGTCTTCGAATTTTACACAAGGGAGATATTGCATGCTCACTTCGAAACTCCGAACACGCGCACTCGAAACTCCAAGTTTACTCGTTCCAAAATTGACCGCTTTTTCGCTGGCGGCGCCACCGTCCAATGGCACTGGGAAATTTCAAATATGACTCTTTGGCGCCATCTAGTGTAAAAAATAATCATATTTTAATAAATTTCCAGTGCCATTGGACGGTGGCGCCGCCAGCAAAAAAGTGGTTAATTTTGGAACGAGTAAACTTGGAGTTTCGAGTGCGCGTGTTCGGAGTTTCGAAGTGAGCATGCAATATCTCCCTTGTGTAAAATTCAATTTCATTTTGTTCGAATGCGTGGACATGTTTGTTTACATTCTAAATGTAAATGTGCGTCTTCGTAACATCGTAGTACCATAATAGTCTTCAAAGTCCATGAGTATATATATTGAAGACTATAATAAGAGTGAAATCTATGACTATGTGAAACTTACTAAAAGTTATCAAGACTAGAGTGCCTTCTTGGCTGAGTGTCTAAACGACCAATTACTGTTAAACATGTCATTACCGTACATCATTAGACATTAGACATTAGCTAAATAGTTATAACTAATATAAGTTATAACTTATAGTTATACTAGTAATAGTATTACAACCATAACTTCATAAGGCATAACCCACAGGCACTTGGAACGTCTCAATAAAAAAATTAATGGTAAATACACACGAAATGTACCAAAGTCTTAAAGGCATAATAGACCCATGGCCATTGATTATGCAAAGTTGACGAATGCTACAGTAACTGGCACCTTGTGTAGTTAATAAGTACATTACCTTATAGCCAAACACGTATTAGTTAGTCACCCCATGGACCTCCTCCCATACCAGACCATACAGAATCCTTAGTAATGTTTTTTGTACTAATGTTACTCGTAAATCGTATTTCTCGTATATCGCGGAATGTAATAGAAATAGTAGTGACATAAACAACTAGCAAAATGAAAATCACCCCCTCTGATGGTGTCACATATAGTGCGTTCCGCGTCAACCGCACCCCCATTGTGATGCCACTGCAATGCGCTATTGACAATGTGATAGTATCTACGTTTTTCTGTGGGGGGGGGGGNTAAACTCTGGAGTTTCGGGAGCGTGCGCGTGTTTCGGAGTGTCGAAGTGGCGCATCAATACTCCCTTGTGTAAAATTCAATTCATTTTGTTCGTGAAATGCGTGGACATGTTTGTTTACATTCTAAATGAAATGGTGACGTCTTCGTAACATCGTAGTACCATAATAGTCTTCAAAAGTCATGAGTTATATATATTGAAGAACTTATAATAGAGTGAAATCTATGACTAGTGAAACTTACTAAAAGTTATCAAGACTAAGAGGCCTCTTGCTGAGTGTCTAAACGACCAATTAGTGAATTACTGGTAAACATGTCGATGACCGCTTACTACATCATTAAGACATTTAGCTAAATAGCTTATAACTAAATATAGTTATAACTCTATAGTTATTACTAGTAATAGTATTACAACATAACTTCATAAGCGCATAACCACAGCGCACTTGGAACGTCTCAATAAAAATTAATGGTAAATACACACGAAATTGTACCAAAGTCTTAAGCGCCATAATAGACCCATGCGCATTATTATGCAAATTTGACGAATGCTACAGTAACTGGCCACCTTGTTAGTTATAATAGTGTTTGTCAATTGGTTGTAATTTCGTAGTACAATCATCGTTGGACCCAAGTAACCGATGATCGGTTACAATCGGTGATCGGGGTGTGAATGCCTGCGTATGCGTAACGTCGTGCCCGCATGTACGTGGTTGCAGGTATTGTGCTTTAGTTTAGCCCCTGTCTTACTGTTTGTATTTGCACTGTTTACTACTGTGTGCTATAATAACAGTGTATTTGTTAAAAATGAATTTTTTTTGATGAAATCGATTTATGGATTTTGATAACAGCGCTTGGATTTTGCAGCCACTGCTTCAACGATGATCGAGTATAATCTGATGATCGTTGACATCACTAGTTAATAAGTACATTACTTATTAGCCAAAACACGTATTAGTTTGCAATATCACTGCTAATTACTAGAAATGTCTAATGAAAATCCGCCTAAATTGTATCTGGCGCCAACGCTAAATTCGTTGCCAAGCAAAATAGCTCGAATTCGGTTAGGATGACGTCACATGTTTGTACGGGTGTTGCCTCAAGAGAATTGTTTGTCCCGGGATTGCTTATAACGGACTAGTGAGCCTAGTAGAATGCTATCTCTGGGTGTAATTCTCGGTATTGAGCACAAGTAAATAACCGTGGGTGGCCGAATGAACGGGCTACCCAATGTCTTCAATTTCGGACACAGGTGTATTCGGTTGACCAATATTACGTAAATACGCGTTAGTGCCGTCTGCTTTCCATGTTTAAGTCTGTGGCCGTGGGTTAGTCGCGATCCCCCCATAGGTGTTGGGCCCCAGCACAGCCACTTCATTATCACGCAGCGTCCGTGATTCGTACGTGCATTTCCACGTTCATTACAATCAGGAGCTACTGCTTAGTATACAGTTACGTTTGGCGTAAGGTGACATGCGTCGCGAAAATGTCTTGGTGCACTATAAATCTGTATCACGCCCGTTTCGCCGTATGCGGTTTCGAAACTTGTAAACAAGTCAGTCAAAACTGATTTCTTGGGACTGGGTTTTCAATTAGACTTTCTTAGTAACCAGCAGTGATATTGGACAAACTAAGTAAGCGTTGCCTATAAGGTAATTACTTATTAACTACACAAGGTGCCAGTTACTGTAGCATTCGTCACAATTTTGCATAATCAATGATGGGCCCTATTTTCCTTTAATTGTTTCTCTACTCTATTTCGCCTATAATCACGCTAGATGGGGTCGTTGTCTATCAGTAACTCAGATATGTACCCGAGTAGTTGTTATTGTTGTTTAGTATTATGTATATATTTTTAGCTCATTTGCATATTAGCTCAGATGCACTTGTAGAATCGGCCATGACGTCCGTCCGTCCGTGCGTGCGTCAAC